ACAGGCATGCCACTGCAACCTGCAAATACGCAGGCCGTCTCAGAGAAGGGCTGGTTGTGCCAAGACTTCGGAGTTCAACTGCTGTAAAATCTGTGCGCCAGGGAATTGGGTCTTGACGGACGACCAATGGCACACAGCTCGCAGCAGTTATTTCAAGATGTGGAGGCTGTCAGCAGTGGTTGGCAACTTCCTGGAAAATAAGCTTGCCGAGCTGCACGAAGCAATAAGGAGTCAGGAGCTGTCCGGTTTCGACGTCGACAACCTGCACGACAAGTATCATGAAGACGGATCACTTCCGAAGTGTGGCAACCCTAAATATTAGGTGCCGTATTATAATAAGGACCCAAAAAGGGTCCCTAATTTTGGCAAGCACCCATTTGCAGGGACTGCCTGAAGCCCAATGTAGGATAGCTACCTTCGGAGGACTTCGTGTTGGGTTTAGAGGTTCAGGGTTGACTAATTTAGAGTACCCAAAAAGGGGACCCTAATTTTGACAAACTACCTATATGAAGCCAAATATGCTGTGGAACCCTTAGTTTGTTTATAAGACTTTTACCCCTGCAGCGGCATGTGAGCCTCCTGAAAAAGCCTGTAAATCTCAGCTGTTTAAAGCCCGCAACCCTTACAACAACATATATATATATATATATATATGTATATGCATATAGCTCACCCCCCCCCCCCGTTGACAGACCATGCCCTTGTGATAGTGTACTCTCGTTCGGTGACTAGGCTGAGATGTTGTATCTAAACACACCACACATGACGACAATCTGTAAAGCAAATCCTTCACAGTACATATACCAAGTTTACTTTTAATATGCAATGTACTGAGGACGCATGGACCAGACGCGCGACACGTGAGTTATGAGGTTTGTGGTAGCATTGATATAGGATGAATATGAGTATTAATATTGGTATTAGTATTAGTATCAGCAATAGTATTAGTGTTTACTGTAAGTATATATATAGGTATATATCGGCAGTAGTAAGTATACATTAATGTTAGTGCTCATCGTCGTTTTAGTCTTAGTGTTAGTGCCAGTGTCAATGCCAGTAATAGTACCACTGCTAGTATTAGCATCAGTCTTCATGTTGGGCTTAATATCAGTTAATAATGGCAGAGGTGCTAGTATTGGTATCGAGATTAGAGTTAGTTTCGATATGTTACTATTCTGATAGTTTCGTATATCAGCAGGTTAGTATATCAATACATTGATGTGTTCGAGAGGCAACATACGGTTGATGATATAAATCCTGCATTACCTTAAAGACCCCAAACTATGGGAATTACGGTATATTCCTCATTATGGGTCATGCAGGATTTATATCATCAACCGTATTTGTATACTTGCATATTCGTAGATTTAATACTTTAGTTCAACTGATGCATGAGTAAACTAGTGGATTGCTGTATTAATATGTTAGTATATTAACATACCAGTATGTTCGTACATTAGTGTACTAGTATACTAGTATATGCAATATACGTGTATTGTCTAATGGTTTATAATAAGTATATCAGTATGTTGTCATATTAGTACACTAACCTGCCATGTCGGTATACTTGCATATTACAGTAGTCGTATACTAGTATAGTAGCATACTAGTATAATAGCATACTGGTATAGTTTATTAACACATTAACAAGTAGTGTATTGTTACATTGGTATATGGGTATATGCTTGTCCCAAAACATCAGTACATGAATGCATTGATACATATCGGCAAAAATGATAATGGTATCTGTTCTGGTGTGCATTAGCATATACACGTGTCTTTTGTAATGGTATTAGCCTTCACATCAATATGAATATGACTATTGGTATTCGTAGGAGTATTAATGTTAATATTCGTATTAGGATTATCCGTAGTCGCATTAGCCTTAGTATAAGTGTTAATAATGGTATTATTGCTGGCATTATCTTGAATATTCAACAAGTTATCAATGTCAGTATTAGTATTGGTGACAGCATTACTGTTAACAGCATAAGAGTATACGCAGTAGTATCCGTAGGAGTATCAATACTTATGTAAATCTTGGTGTTAGCAAAAACAGTGTGATTGGTATTAGTAATAGTGCTAGTGCTAGTGCTAATATTAAAATGAGGTTATGTATTCGCATGAACGTTTGTCTTATATTAGTATTACTCCTGATTACATGAAAATACTAACAGATAAATACATGCATGAGCTAATGTATTTGTACTTTAATATAGTGGTATGTATATTTATGTACATTGGTATATGCAGGTGTGTATTGGTATTGGTATGAAAATACACTACTACCAATATGGGCATAATTATTGATATGCGTAGGAGTATGAGCGTCAGTATTAATCATTATTAGTATTTGTATGGTGCCTATTCGTATTGGCTTAAAAAAGTGTAAATATTAGCGTTAATGTTGGTATTAGCTTGGGCAGTCAGCAAATGATCAATGTCAGTATTAGTATTGGAAATAGTATTCGCAGGAGTACATTTTTTTTTTAAGAAGATATATATATATATATATATATACATAAACACTGACAATTGTCTAAACAGACCTTGCCTTTGCAAGTGAGTCGTAGTGCATGGTCTGTCATCCGATGGGTCACAATCAGCCCATTGAAAACCAAAATTTCCAAAATTTCCAAAATTTCCGAAGTTTCCGGAATTTCCGAAATTTCCAAAATTTCAAAAAAATCCAAAATTTCCGAAATTTCCAAAATTCTCTCCCCTAACTTTCCGGATTTCCAAAATTTCCACAATTTCCAAAATTTCCGAAATTTCCAAAATTTCCAAAACGGCCCGACCTAGTCGACAGGATTTTTCCAACACATAAGGGCGGACTTTTTGGAACTTTTGGAAATTTGGTAAATTTCGGAAATTTCGGAAATTTTGGAAATTTTGTAAATTTCGGAAATTTTGGAAATTTTGGAAATCCGTAAAGCTAGGGGAGTATGTATGTATGTATGTATGTATGTGTGTGTATATATATATATGTATGTACACATAGAATCGCATAACAAGGTTCAAGTAGCCCTCAAGACGTGTCCAGATGGCCTTTCCTCTGTGGCACCGGGTTGCCGTCGAGTTCTACCTACAGGCTGCTGGAAGGGTTTAGAGTTTGGCTTTTGGGACTTTAGGGTGTTAGGGTGTCGGGATTTGGGCAGTTTGGAGGGTTTGGTCTTTAGGGTTCGGTTTGCGCGATGTTCTTGGATGGTTCCGGCTGTGTGGTTTTCAGGAGCTTCAGGGTGTAATGGAATTCGGACGTTTCGCCGTTGCCTTGCGGGTAGATATGTGGAAGTGTATTATAGATATGCCTACACATGCATACGTATGTGTATTTATCTCTGTGCGCCTTTGTGTTTTGGCTTTCCGGCTTGTTGATGAGCGAATGGGCCTGGATTCAGCACTCCCAAAGGGCCCAAGTAACAGTATAGTGTATACTTTGGGGGCCCGAATAGCTACTCAGAGCCTACTATATTGGTACTTGGGCCCTCTGCGACTGATACCCTAAGCCCAAAACCGCGTCGATGGTGGATCTCTGAGGGTTTCAGCGAGACGAGGCTAGGGCGGATTTCCGGCTCCTCCAGGGTCAACTCTAGACGCTCAACCCTAAACCCTCTTGGGTTTAGGGTTTAAGTCCTAGAGCCCTCTTGGGTTTAGGGTTTAGGGTTTAAGTCCTAGAACCACAAACTTAGGGTTTAGGGCCTATAAGTCCTAGAACTGCAACCCCTCCTCCGCTCTAAACCCCATCGCCTCGCCCAGCCCCGATTGCACCCCTAGGATGCCCAGTAGGCTTAGGGTTCCCTTAGGGATCTATAAGGGTTCCTTAAAGGGATCTATAAGGGTTCTATAAAGGGTTTAGGGTTTCCGAAAATTAGGGGCTAGGATGCCCAGTAGTACCCTTATTCCCTTTTTGTAGTCCTAGGTTCCTTATAAAGTTACCCAATACCAAAATGAGAGGCTTAGGGTTTTGGGGTTTAGGGTTCAGGCTTAGGTGTCCTTTTTATTCTTAGGTTTCTTTGTATCCTAGACACCTGATGTCCTTGACGCTTGCAGATCCCTTGCATCCCGACTCGGCCTTCTTCTCTATCTCCACAAAGGAGGCTCGAGCTCGGGTTTGGCGTTTAGGGGTTTAGAGACTTAGGGGGTTTGTAAAGGTAGTCCGAAAGCCTCCGAGTTCTTCTCTATCTCCACAAAGGAGGCTCGAGCTCGGGTTTGGCGTTTAGGGGTTTAGAGACTTAGGGGGTTTGTAAGATTTACGTTGCTTGCATCGTTTTTGTCGTTTGGGCTTTTAGGCTTATCTTTGGATAGTAGGGAATGGAAGAACGGAGTAATAGTAGTGATAATTGTACCCCCATTCCTCCACTCCCTACTAACCAAAGGTAAGTAAGGAGGGGGGAGGAGGGCGGCGTCTGTTCAGAGGGCACGCGCTAGACCGACCACACTTGCACAGTGGCTACATGTTACAATATCGGCTTGATAGTTGGCAGCAATACTATCCTCTTATCGTCTCTCTTGTGCTAGTTATATTGCTGTAGATCTTTCCGTACCTGCCTAGTAAATGACGTCATCAATCCTCAAGCCCTACTCTACTTCTGAAGCCTGTATTTACCATTTTGTCGTACTAGGATGCAGGGCGGCTTGGGGGCTTCAAGTTCTTGCGGTCCTTTCGGGTTTTGGAGTTTTTAGGGGGTTCAGGGTCGAGGGCTTAGGGTTTTGGGTTTGCGTGATCCGGTAGGTAATGTTTCGATACAGCGCTCTACGAAAGATGACATGCGCAGAAGCACCTGCCAACTTGCTTCGATTGAAAGTCTTTCCAAGGGATTTCACTTGTGGCAGAATCGTACTTCCTCAAACGTGCGGCAAGGAGAACACTTGTGGAGCTTTAGTTGTGTTTCAACAAAATATCCGTGTGGCTATGGCTAAAGAAGGTGCCGTTGCGCTTCTTGGCTCAGGCGCACTATCGGTTTTGGGGATTGTTCCGGTGTGAAGCCGAGGAGTAAGCCATGGTGGGTCGCGCATTTCTGTGCTTCATCGCGGTCAGCCTGTCGCAAGCTTCTACGATATTGGATGAGCTTCTTGGTGCCTTCAAGAGCGAGAGTGGCCTCCTCTTCCGAGCCACACAGGATTTCTCAAACTTCACGCAGTGGCCTCAGTCAGCATGTGCTCTCAGATGGGACTTGCCTCCAGCCCTCTACGTCGTGAAGGCGGAGACAGAGGTCACCGGCTTGGTATTGCAGCCGAAGATGCAAGTTGAGTGTGCCTACCCTGTCAACGGCAATTCCGACTTTCGGAAGGATGCGCAAGGCCAGAAAGACCTGTGTGGACATACGGACAACCCTGCGGCAGGGCGCGAAGCGACCAACATGAGCGGTGCTTGCAGCTTCGCCTCACCCAAAGACTATGCCCAGGCATATTTCAACAGTCCTCAACGCCATCTCCCTGGCTTCGATGGCTTTTGGAACCTGAATTACGCAACCTGCCATTTCGGCACGGCCCCGGAAGCTCTGGAAGCCCAACAGGCCGTGTGGCAACTTGCAACGAAGCTGCCCCCTGCCACCACGGCTCAGCGACTTACCTTTGGTTAGCTAGGATGCCCAGTAGTACCCTTCCCTTTTTGTAGTCCTAGGTTCCTTATAAAGTTACCCAATACCAAAAAGAGAGGCCTTTTTATTCTTAGGTTACTGGGTATCCTAGATAGGTAATGGAGGAATGGGGTACAGTTACAATTGTTACTATTACTACCATTCTTCCATTCCCCACTTACCGAAGCTAAGGCAATGGCTTCGAAATGCATCCAAGGTGGGCTTTGCTCTAACCGCTTTCAACGAGGTCGTCGTGGCGCCAGTCCAGCCTGCAGATGTTCGGGCCGTGTTCTGGGCACATTCCGGCCCTTTCCGGGATCCAGGCCCAAGCGACTGGAAAGCTTGCATGCTGGCACAGTTCCATGGTCCCCTCATAGTACCCTTTATTTGTCTTTTGGTTTTTGGGTGTCCTTATTGTTCAACTTAAACCGGAACAGTAGCAAAGGGGCAGTATGCTACATAATTACTGTAGATTCCGTATGAAGCCTTGCAAAACCTTCGGCCCCGAACCTTGTAAAACCAGTCTTCCAACCCTTCAACCCTTATGGGGGCATCGGAGGTTCCGCCAAAATCCAAAGCCCTAAGAAAACGTAGGTTCAGGGTTTAGGGTGTAGGGTTTAGGCAGTTTGGGATTTAGGGTTTCGGGGCCTCAATATCTAGAAAAGGGGTTTGGGCGGTTGGGGATATATCATGCTAAAACGTTCTGTCAACTGTAAATGAGATTTGCTACGCCTTTTTTCGACCTCCATATTACTTACCGGTGCTTAAACGGGAGTGGGAGAAGTGGATATCCCTCATTACAACAGTTTCATTAACGTAGGCCCAATATTCCTTCTCCACTCTCCCTATCTCTCCCTGCAGCACCAGCAAGATTAGACCAGTAAGATTAGGCTGAGTAATGATTGGGGGTATATTGTAATAATAGAACCTATGGACACTGTAAGATAACCCTAAGGCTCCAAGTGCCCAAACAGTAGGGTTGCAAGGTCCAAAAACCATTCAGGGGATCGAAAACCCTACTATTTGGGTACTTGGACCCTCTGGGTACAGTAGAAGCCAGAAAGTTGGAATATGATTATCGTAACCCCTTTAAGGTAAATTACAGGGGATCCTACCATGAAACCATATTCCAACTTTCTGGACTTCCCTGTAAGGTTCCTGAAGAGCAGCAGCACTTGGCCCATCATCGAAGTGGCCGACGTCATCTTGGAGAGGCCGACCGCGAACTGCGAAATCAAGTTCGACATGTCCCACTTGGGCGACTGGGTCACTATGTAGGGTTTAGGGGTTTAGGGTTTTGGGTTTAGGGTTTAAGGTTAAGGTCAAGGTTTCCTTGGTTTATGGGATTTATAGGTGTAGTATTATTTTCACCCTTTTGCATCTGGATTTCCGGCGACTTATGCGGCTGGATCCCTACATGTCTATTTGTGTCTGGATTTCCGACTAATTTATCTTTGGAGGATACTGCGGAACCAAGGCTATTATGCCACAAACGCAAGCTGCCTCACCGGATATGTGGAGGCAATGGTGCATTTGGAGCTTCCTGAATTACAAAACCTCTAAACCCCTAGCCCTCAAACCTTCTCCCAAACCCAAGTACCCAAATAGCAGGGTTTCAAGGTCCAAAAACCATTCAGGGTATGGGATTTTGGGATCTAAAACCCTACTATTTGGGTACTTGGACCCTCTGGGAAACCCCTAAACCCTAAACACGAAACCCGAAACCCGAAACCCTAAACCCTAAACCCCTAAATCCCTAAACCCTAAACCCTAGCCCTCAAACCTTCTCCCAAACCCTAAGCCCTGCGCGGAGGCCATGAAAAGTCTGGAGCAGCAGGGGCCAGCGCAAGCAGCTCGCATCTTTCGAGAGCTAGAGGCCTCTAGCTTCCTTAAGGCCACGGAGAAAGTCTGTGCTTCAGAAATTGTGGTTTGAGAGTTTAAGGAATTGAAGTGTGGTTCAAGAGTTTAAGGAATTAAAGTGTGGTTCAAGAGTTTGAGGAATTAAACTGTGGTTCTGGTGGTTTTGAGGTTTTCGGATAGCTGGGTGGTTTAGGGCTGAGAGATCCTAGGGTGCTTTCGGGTGTATATAGGTATTTGTTGGGGTCTAGGGTTTGGGGGATCCTTTTTTTGAGATCCCACCCCATAAGCCCTAATCTGTGGCTCCCGGCTTCCGAGAAGCCCCGCGCGATGTCAGAAATCCTTTGAATCGCCTCGCCCGGCTTGCTTGGAGCTTGACAGGTGGAAAAGCCTGCTGGGTTTAGGGTTTAGGCTAGGGTTTAGGGTTTGGGGAAATCCCTCCCCAAACTTATCTGCTTTGTTAGTATAAGGGTTATAGGGTTTGGGGTTTTGGGGTTCAGGGTTAAGGGTTTAGGATCAACGAGTCAAACTTATCTGCTTGGTTGTATAGCGGTCTAATATCAGGGTCGTACAAGGTTACCGTTTGGCTGTGGGAACTCTATCTCCACATGCCTGCAAGCTCTTCTACACCGCGCATTGAACCCCAGAAAACCCTTCCACATCCATGGAAGCCCATGGTAGCATCCTCTCCAGCCCTTATTAACTCAAATGCCTAAACCCTGAACCCTCAACCCTAAACCCCGAAACCATCATCCCTGAACTCTGAACCCTAAGCCTCCAAACCTATGCCTGAAACTTAAACCCTCATCCTTCCTTGGTTGCGATTTTTCGGGGTGCTACGCTAGTGCTCAGCGTTAGTCAGTGTTTGGATAAAGCTGTGCTCTCTAAAGGCTTTCTCTTACCCTTAACTGAAGGCTCTAAGGACTCATACATTATTGGGGCCCAAAGACCCTACTATATAAAGCTTCGGATATTTTGGGACTCTAGGTTAGGTAATGCAAATTTGGGTGGTTTAGCTTTGGCTTTCAACCCTAAGCCCTCCCGGAGAAGCTTGATAAAAGCCTCAAACTATGCGTTATAGAAGCCGTGTACGCATGTAGAAACCTCAGACCTTCATCGACATGTTAATCACGTATAGAATCCTTATACCCTTCTAGAACCCCTGAGCCCTTATAAGCCTTATGCAAACGGTTGTAGAAACCCGAAACCCGTATAGGCTTCAGAAACCTGAGCCCGTGTTCACTAGATACTTTGCGTAATCCCTATTATACAAACCTTTGACCCTCAACCCTATAAATCCTAAACCTTAAATCCTAATCACCGCTAAACCCTAAATCCTAAACCCTAAGACCCTAAAGCCCGGAATCCCCGAACATCACAAGCCCCATCCTCGGCGTGATTTGCTTTGTGAAGGAGCGTCCAGCGGCGCCAAGCCCGACCAGGCTCACGGCTCTTCGTTGCGTTTAGGTTTAGAGCTTGGGCTTTAGGGGTTTAGGGTTTAGGGTTTAGGGTTTGAGGGCTAGGGTTTCGGGTTTAGGGTTTAGGGGTTTCCCAGAGGGTCCAAGTGCCCAACACGTAGGGTTTTAGATCCCAAAATCCATACCCTGAATGGTTTTTGGACCTTGAAACCCTACTATTTGGGTACTTGGACCCTTAGGGGTTAAGGGTTTGGGGTTTAGGGTTCAGGGGTTCAGGGTTTAGGGATTCAGAGCTCAGTCATGTAGGGGTTGAGGGTTTGGAGTTCAGGCTTTAGGGGCTTTGGGTTCAGGGTTCCGGGGAGTTTCGGGTTCAGAGGTCCGGTCTTAGAGTTTAGGGTCTAGCTTTAGGATCTATATAGGGCTTAGGATCTATATAGGGCTTACGAGACCCCCAGGGTCTATGTACAGCCAAAATAGTATATACTTTGATCCCAAAGTAGCCACCGTTTCTACATAGGGACGACTCTAAGGCCAATGTATATACTGCTTGGGTACACGTAATGTTAGGTTTCAGGGTCCAGTTTCAGGGACTACAGTCGCGCCTAAGTTAGGGTTCCGAGGCTAGGTGTCAAGGTTTTCATTGACTTAATAACATCAATATTCCAATTTCTATCAACTAAGAAATCGATAAATTTGAATACAGATATACAGATCGAGGGGTTCAGGGCTCGTATTTTGCTATCTGGCGGGTGGGTGTGTCTGTCTCCGTGTGTGTGCATGTGCGTGTGCGAGTGTGTACGTGTGTGTGTGTGTGTGTGCTTGTGCGCGAGTGGGGGCTCATGTCATCGAACCACTGATATTGGAGGAGCTAAGTGGCCAGGGATGATGATAATCCCTATTAAATAAGGAGCTAAAGAGCCATGGAACCCCCAAAACCACTGGTTAGTTTAGATGCGAAAGGTTTTGAGGGTGTTTGTTCAGGGGACTTGTAGGGATGTGTGACGGATTCATTTGCAGTTTGGTCTTCTCGGGCCTAGGTTAGGGCCTGAGGTTTAGGGCTCAGGGTTTGGAGGTTTAGGATTGAGAGCTTTTAGTGGTTTAGGATTTTTTTAGGTTTTTGAGCTCGGGGTTTCGAGGTTTAGGATTTTTTTGGCTTGTAGGATTGGGAACTTTTGCTTTAGGGCTCTCAGGGTTCGGGCTTACCCTTAGACCTTGACTTCACAATTGGCGTTCCATGTTTTTCCACGCTGCCTCGCTATGAAGTCTGAACCCGCTGCAGCCCCCAACTCTACAATATAGCAGGTGACGACCCCGTTAACCCACCCTTATCAACCTTAAACCCTCAACGTTAAGGGGCCAGACCCGAAATGGTCCTAGGTACCTGTATGATGGATACCGAAACCATACCAGTCCTATTATAGAACCCCCTGCTTTCTACATCTTTCTACTATGTCGCCGCTTCGCACCCTTTGGGAGAGGACCAGCTATCGGAAGCAAAGTAGCTCGGGGCTGTCGCCAAGTACCGGCCCCAAGTGCGCGCTGTCGGGACATCTAGGGTAGGGTTTAGGGTTTAGGGTTGAGGACTTAAAAAAAGGGGCCTGAAGAATGAAGTGCATTATTCCTTCGGGTTTCGTCTTACGAAAGATTCCTTCGGGTACTTCTCTGTAACCATACTGTACCATGCCTTATGCGTCAAAACCATTGAAGCTCTCACATCATGGTTTCCGGCATGGGATTTCGGGTTGTGGGTTTACCGTTGAGGGCTCATTGTTTCGGGTTTGTGGTCCTAAGATGCCAACACCCTGCTCCATCAAGCCTAACAGGTTCTGGATTCAGGGTTTCAGATTTCTCATGTTTTGTTTGAGGATTTGATAGGACCGTGCCGTCAACGAAAAGGGTCCCTTCGAAAGAGTGCTCATAGTTCAGCTTTTGGAGAAGCAGGGACGCAAGAAAAAGGTCCCCAAATAGCGAGGTCCTGGCTGCAAGAGCCTCGGAATGAGGTGCCCGATAGCTTTGAAGAAGCCCCGTTCAAACAGAAATCAGACCCTACGACACCCGCGCACAGCCGTTGACCACTTGGAAAAAACCCGGGAGTCAGCCCGGAACGTGTAAAGCTCCGAAGTAGTGGGAGGAGATTGATTGAACGGCTATGCAAACAGTATACCTCTAGTCTCCATTGTAGTTCCTTTTTTGATGTAACTCATTTTATATTAGGGATCCTAAAAGGCAGCCCCAAAAAGGAGCTACAATGGAGACTACAGGTAAACCCTACCAGGCCCCAAGCCCTAATCGGGCTTTGTAGTGAGCTTCCGTGCAATTTTGAAAGCCCTCCCCCCGCTCACCTTCCGATGTGTTTGGCACAGGTGTGTAGGGACCAAGAGCAGCACATGCATGAGCATAACCCATCGGAAACCAGGCTCCTTCTGAGGATCTTTACCAATGCTGGTAGGTTCGGCCTTTTTCGGCAAAGTTGCCGCAACCCTCAATAAGAGTTTGTGGGCCGGCATCAAGCCCGCAAGAGCCTATGATGTTGAGGTGCTAACTCGCGATCGAGTTTCCAGTCCCTGTGCTTCGAGGTGGTCTTAGGGTTTGACCGTGTGGGGTCGAGGGCTCATAGAACTTCTTACTAGCTGAGTGGATACACCTTACACTTTTCGGGATAATATTACCCACTATAAAACAAAAAGTGTACAGCTTTTGGGGCTTATGGACTCAGCAACTAAGACCTGTGAGTCCTAAGGGTACGGGGGGTTCAGAGTACAGAGGCTGCATCGGCGCTCTTACCCGGCTTCTCAGGGGTTCTGGTGGGAGTTGGCCGGGTTCTAAACCTTAAACCCTAAACCCCTAAACCCTCAACCCGTAGGCACCGGTATGCTTCATCAGGGTTCTTGGAGGGCGCATTCCTGCACAAAGAGGGTTCGGCCCCAGTACCCCAAATAATTGGGCAAGGCTTTACCTTAAGGCCCCAAAGTAGTTCCTTCTTGGGGTTTACCTTATAGGATTTTATATACGAACCCAAAACAGGAACTACTTTGGGGCCTTAGGGTAGGGGCCCCGAATCTCCTTAACAAATGAAGGGGTGTGTGATTTAGCGCGCAGGGCTTCTTCAGAGGCTTTAGCTAGGATGCCCAGTAGTACCCTTATTCCCTTTTTGTAGTCCTAGGTTCCTTATAAAGTTACCCAATACCAAAAAGAGAGGCCTTTTTATTCTTAGGTTACTGGGTATCCTAGTTAGGGTTTATGGGTTGACGACCCGGTCGAGGATCTTCCACAAGTGTTGCATGCTCTCTGCTCTGAGGTGGAAACCCCGAACACTAACCCTATGCCTCCAGGGACCTTATTATGGGGTCCTTAAGGGGTCTAGGGCCCTAACTATGAGGTCCTTGGAGGGATAGGGTAATCGCCTCTAAAACGGAAAAGGAAAAGGCTATGCTTCAATGCGAGCTGCCGTTGCTGGCCAGACTTGGGAGTTTCCGAAAATAGGGGACCCTAATATAATACCCTAAATAGTAGGATCCTTATTATAAGGACCCCAAAATAAGGTACCCCCTATTTTGGGAAACTCCCACTTCACTAATTGGGGTGTAGGGTTTATTCAGAGTTTTGCTCTTGGAGCCCAAAAGCTCTATTGTTCGGACAGTCGCAGATCGGATTCCCT